ACACACACACACACACACATACACACAAACGCGCGCGCGCACACACACACACACACACACACACACACACACACAGTCTACCTCATGTAAGAAGCAGGTTGCTTCAACCCCGCACGTCAGGGTTAAACTAACATGGGCGATGCGAAATCCATTCATAATGGTTATCTTAGAAAATGGAACATTATAAGACAGTCCAGCCCTCTGTTTGAGACACCATTTTGAAAGAGGGGCTTGAAGGAAGGATGTAGGACAGAAGAGCCATGGGAAGACAAAGAGTAATATGGATAGACAACATAAAAACATGGACTGCCCTGGATATAGCAGAATGAGCAGCAGCAGCTCTGACCATGAAGGATAGAGGGACATTATAAGTCAACCTCTGAGTTAGAGATGACATCTCCAGATATCCAGGTACTAGCTGAGCCCCCTTTCAATGAAAGGAATGATCGGTGCATTAACATCAACTGAAAGTCATTGGCCTACTATATTTACACTCTACTGGAATGGAGCAATAAATCTTGAGACATGCATAAAATTAGAAGGTCTAGATCTAGATCTATACTCTCAAAACAAAATGCGCCTCGCGAAATATCACTTTCTGCATTTCCGTTGTGAAGGACAGCTACGCTCATTTGCTTTCTTTCTCAGTGAATAATCACAAAGGCCAAAGAAGAACGGGGACTTTTTGTCAAATATATTTTTTTTCTAAATTCAGGAAATGAATAAATAAAAAAATCGGGCTCCGTCATGGGGACCTATCTATCTTTTTGCAGGTACTTGCCAACTTTCAACTCTGTAGCTGTCGTAGTTTTATGTGAAAAGTGACACATGTGTTCCATGTTGCCGACTATTATAACAGATACTGGAAAAACGTCTTAGGCAACTCCGGTGGTATTAAGTATATTTATATTATCATTGTGTGTTTGCTACCATTTTAAGAGTGCAACTTATTTTATTCGTAAAGAAATTCTATTTGAAAAATGAAACAGCCCCCAACATTTTTATCATCGTCAATGGCGACATCTGTAAAATTGAATCTTGATTGTCGAAGAAGGTTCTTTAAAAAGAGCAAAACCAAATGAAGTACTAGATTATATTTGGCTCGCCTATGAAATTAAGACTCGTTTTGCCAAATGTACAATGGTTTGACAGACTCAAATGTGCCAATAACAATGTAATGGAGCATTTGATGGCACTTTGATGCATGAACTATGGTCGTGATATTCTGTTGATGAACCGCTTCTTTGAATGATATTTCCATTCTTAGGCTGTGGACTATCTGCTGTAGACGTGGCTGAAGATATTGCGAGAGATGCAGAGAGTGTAAGTGTCCATTAACGATATTCTACACTAAAAAAAGGGGAATAAATGAGAAAAAGTCTTGTGGTTCTTTCGGTTTTGTTGCCTTAATTTGACTTTTGCTTGCATTTGTGTTAACGTGTGTTTGTTTGTGTGTGTTTGTTTGTGTGTGTTTTTGTATGTATGTATGTATGTATGTATGTATGTATGTATGTATGTATGTATGTATGTATGTATGTATGTATGTATGTATGTATGTACGTACGTAT